CAATGTCAGATCAGAAGGACAACTGAACAGCATGTGGTATTCCTGCCATTTGGGGCACAAACAGCGGGAAGCTCCTTGAAGGTGGAGTTAATTCCATTTGGTTGGGAAGCAATTCTGTTTGGAATAATCTTCTTGGCATAAGAAGTAACCTCTTTAATTAGCTGACTTTCTAACTTGGTGAATGTCTTACTAATTTCTTCAATACATCTTCAGTATTACAAAGTGGCCCTCTGTTATACAGACTGTTGTTAGGAGCTTTTGGGTGTTCTTGTAAGGAGAAAGGAGGGGTAGGAGGAAACTGGCTCCTGACAAACCTTTGTCTACCAAGACAGTTTTCTATGTGAGGAGAATGCCCGATTTTTCAGAACTATAACATCCTCCCAGCAGCCAATTTTGCAATCCATTCTACCGCCTAAAAATTATATCATTCTCCCATTCTATTGATTTGTAGACTAGGTCTCAAAGGAGCCAAGTGACAAACAAACCAGAAATCAATATGAAAGCAGAACCTGGAGAAAGGATAACAGGAATAAAACTTGAGGAAGGGGGAGAAAATAAGGAAGAAAGGACCTAATCCAGGAAAGGAAGAAATCGCATATCGCTTCAGAACAGGAAAGGTTGTATGCTATGGTTGTATGTTTGTATGCAAGTGGCCGGTTTGCAGGGGATGGAGTATGAGGTGAGACTGAGGGAACTGGGTCTCTTCAGCCTGGAGAAGAGGAGACTCGGAGGGGATATGCTGGCGACATACAGGTATGTGAGTGGATGTCACATGGAGATGGGTAGAGACCTGTTCTCCCCTGCAGAGGAAGGCAGGATACGCTCCAACGGAGCAAAGCTCAGGGAGCCAAGGTTCCATTTGGATGCCAGGAAGCACTTCCTGACAGTTAGGACCCCGAGGGTGTGGAATGGGCTTCCACGAGAGGTCGTTGAGGCCCCATCGGTGAGGGTGTTCAAAGATAGGCTGGATATGCACATGGTGGGCATGTTGTGAGCGGAGCCGGCTGGTGCTGGAGGTCAGACTAGATGGCCCAGGAGGTCCCTACTGACTCGCTCTGTTTCTAAAATGGCCTCTGTCCAAGTAGCTGAGTAGACTTGTCTGTCTGCTGCATTTCCAGCTTAAAGACAAAAACCATGGGAAGGAAGAAGAGCAGAAGCCTTCAAGTTGTCCTTCAGTGGCTAACAATAGGACAGTGGACTTAGAAGGTACACAGATCATTTTGGCGTAGCCTTCCCCATGAATAATGGGCAGATGTGTTTTGTTGTATTTCTGTGCGACCTGAATTACAGTAAGTGGTTCCAGATATGAACCTATGCATATAAGCTAACATACAGTATACAATTTAGGAGTGAATCTTCTTTTGCATAATTAACTTTTGCTTTTTTTAAAAATGTGCAATGAGAAAGGCTCATGAGGCCAGTCAGGAAACTGGGCAACTGAAAGAAATAAGGATAGGGATGGTAAATCACATTCTGAGGGTCAGTGGGTGCTGGAGACCATGTGTTGAAGAAAGGGAGGCAGGGGGAAGCTAATAGAAGATGGTTAGAGAGGAGAGGTGGAGAACATTTGGCAGGAAAAAAGAGATTTGCAGGTAAAGCGACTAAAGCCCAGGAGTCAAAGGGCACAGGATTACTTGGTCAAGCATCTAGACTGGGGTGGTCCAGCTGCATGTGGCTCCCAAGGGCTTGTTCTGGAACATTCTTGCACTTGGAGCCTAGCCCCATCCCACCACAGTCTGGATCCCAGTGGTGGCACGGGCATGATTGCAACAAGGTTTTCTGAGGCTGCCAGCCCATCCCACTCTCTTCTGGAGGCTCAGGAAGTGAGCAGGTCAGGCTAGCGGCCTTGAAAGAGCTCAACCCATCATGCCCTGCACTACTCCAGCTGACACTAAACCTCTGTCTACAAGAGTGAGGCATTCTGGGGAGAATTCATGGCTCAAGTAAAAAGAGGCTCGGCATCCCAGTTCCAAGAAGGAAAAATGGCCTTGAGGGCCACATAGGAGGGTTCCTAGTTGGGAGAAACAGGGAAGAAAGGAATGTCCTCTCCCAGAGGAGTGGTCATTGTGCTTGGACTGTGGTCAGAGAAGGAATTGCGGAGATCACAGGCCAACAAAGCATTCTTTTTCATTCATTTAGTCCTAAAATCATTTTAAAATTAAGCGGCTGCCTCAGTCCCTGCAGCAGTTACCAGGCTGCAGAGGTCCACAAAGCTTTCAGTTTGCATCTATAATTAGCACAAGGTATGATTAATTAATGGTTAAATATATTGATTGCATATTTTAAATAAAACTATTGCAAATACTTTAATTTATGATATGGAAATGTAATTCGTTGTGCAGCCTCAGGGTTCCATGTCCAAGTCCTCATGCCCTCAGGGTATGAAAAGTTGGACCACCCTGATCTAGACCTTGACAGGTGAATTGTTCCAGTTATACTGTAGAACTGTGGCCTAGCAATCCTAAAGCCTCATTCTCATGTTAACAAACAAAATCCATCGCATTTTTAAAAGAAATCCTGGGTTGCCATGAGGGAGCTGGTGGGCTAGCAGTTGTCTCTTCCTGCAAGCAGAAGCAGCTGAATAAGCCAAGAGTGCCCTGCACCTGACTTGGTTGCGCTCCACCTGAACCTGGCAGTCTTTCTCGTCTCTGTGGGACTTTGTCCCAGCCCACGTGAAGCTTCCTCCCAAGACACAGAGTCAAATTCAGAGGAAGAGAGGGCAGTGTCTGGTCTGGAGCTGAATGTAGCAGGAGACTGGTTGATTCAGCTTGGCTTGGCCTTCTGTGGGCTGATGAACAGGGGAGGGAAGAGGCGTTGGCAGGAACACCTGCTGATCGGTCAGGGACACCACCCCCGTGGAGGTATGAGCATTGGGGTGTGACTGTTGGTGGGCCCTGCATCTGGGGAGGCTGAGGATGTGCCAAGGGGCATAAGGGGCTCCCTGGCAGCCTGGACTTACAGCATGTGACAACCTCTGCCAGAACTGAGGGCTCCAATAAAAGGCTTCTGAGGTAACTTTTGAGGAGTTCACTGGAGGCTGGGACATTGGCAGGAGCTCAACAGTCTCTCCTGACAGCAAGAGCTGTAACCCAGGTTCATGATAACTCAGGACTTTTAAAAGCTCTGCGTCACTGTTGCATGCAAACCAGGCCTAACTTGGCAATGCAGATGGAAAAACCAGAACAGAAAGTTGTCCTTGTACTTATTGGTTTAGACTAACTAGCTGATTCAGCTGCAGGCTTCTAGGAGCTCCTATTGCATCCATAGAGCAGAAAGCAGCCCACGTCACCTCTGGCCGTTCCCTTTTAAAATGCATGCCTTGCTTTAACCATTTTTATTTGTTATTTTTACCCAGGTCATATATGCTTGTAAATGAGTTTTTATCACTGGAAAGTGGCCAGCTTGTAATGTTGCTCCTTGCTGTATGTAGGAATTGATGCCACATCAGGTAGCACAGGTAGCACACTTACAGTGCAGGGCCCTTCATATGCTGCCGATTTGCCATTGAGGCTGGGGCAAGACCCAGCTTTATGGCATGGCCAGACATCAGCTTGCAGGGCTTTCTGACTGATGCTGCAGGGCACCTCTCCAGCAGTGTGTGAAGTATTGCAAGGAAGTGGAGGCACTTTATCTTACGGTCATCACTATGCATCCCGGAACCAACATTATTCAATCCAGGGCTGTGAAGAGGTCATGAAACACACTGTCTGGGCTCCCTTGATACAGCGGTCTGTCATCATCACTAGCCATGGTGGGTTGCTGTAACATCCAAACCCTGACTGCTCCCTGCAGGATTGCTGCAACAAGGCTCTCTGACAACCCATGGCTTGTTCTATGGGTGGTTTGACTCATGATAGGTTGCCGTTCCATCCAAACATGGCGGAGCAATTTTGTCATGGGCTGCAGAAATTGGCTAACATGCCCCTCAGCAGGAGTAGCAAAGCCCCTTGCCAGTCTTCACAGGCTTGCCTGTTTCACCACTAGTGGCAATTTGGTTTGAATATCACTGGTTTGACATCTCTAGAAAAAAAGAAACCCTTAAAAAAAGCCCAGCACCATAAGAACACACTCGTACAATTGCAACAACAACAACAAATAACAAGATCCAAAAATACCAAGACATTTGTTCGTTTTTCTGGTGCCAAAAAATAGGAAAATGAAAAATACAAGCCCAATTGCACTGTTTGGAAACTCAAAAAAAAGAGGCCACTGTCAGGGGCAATGGAGGCAAGATGACTTGTGCCTCAAGGGCCACTAGGATGCTGGCTGGAAGACCAAAGAAGAAGGAGGGAGATAACAAGCTACAGTGAATCTGTTTGCCTGTCAGACACAGTGAGGATTGTTCTGCAGTGGCCCCAGCTTAGGGTTGTCATATTAGGCAAACCTTCCCAGAGCATCTATACTTGCCCTGAGGGCTGGGATCTAAAAACTGCCTCTTGATTGGTCTGGGAGAGTGCCGGAACATGGCCTTTGAGCATGGATAATGCATGGTGCTGGCTCTCCAGGAGTTTTCTCACTCCTGTACCTCACAGAGTATTCAGAGAGCTAATGGCAAACATTGTGCATCAAAGTCTTATCTTGGTAGACTTATCTTGCACCTGCAGCAGGTAGCATTCAATTTGCTCCCCCTGTTTAGTTCAGAAGCACCCTACTTAATGCTTCAATCTACTTACGCTGCTACGGGTTCTTAGGCAATGGTTCTGTTAGGTGATTAGATTAGGTTTTCTCCTTATGAATGACTTATTTTGGGGTTTACATGGATGCAGATCTGTTTCCTGTGGTTCATCTCTACAGTCTGAACTGCTCGGACTACAGATCTGCAGCACCCCCTGCTCTCCTCTTGGAGCATTACCCTCACACCTACATTACAGATCCGTGGTGAATGAATAACTAATAGCTGTCATCTGAGTGTGGAATTTGAAGACCAGGACTATACAGACATAACAGCTCTGTAACGCCCACCTCTTCCCTTCTTTTTTTTATTTTATTTCTTTATGTAGCTCAACGAATCAGCTAAGCAGCTTATTGAGATGGACAAGACCAATCTAGCTGCTGCATCTGGCAGTGATGTCCCTTTGCCAGCTGACAGTAACCTGGCAGCAAACCCGGCTCAGTGCTGTACACTGAACAGTGCCGGAGCGGTCAGTGCCATTCAGCGACATGTTGACGGCAAGAAGAATGCCAAGAAGCGCCACTCCTTCACTGCTCTCAGTATGACCCACAAATCCTCCCAGGCCATGAATAACAGGCATTCCATGGAGATTAGTGCCCCTGTCCTGATCAGCTCCAGTGACCCCCGTGCTGCTGCCAGAATTGGAGATGTGACTCATCTCTCATCCAGCGCTCCAGTCCAGGTAAACTATGGAAACATTAACCTCAGCACTCATCCATGAAAAGGACTGACCAGACAGAATTAGCTCCTTCACTTGCGTTGGCTATCGGATCACAATCGCCTAGGCCAGGGATGGGCGAGCCGGCGCCCTCCAGGTGGTTTGGTCTGCATTGGGTATGCTCAGTGTGGATGATGGCAGCTGTAGTCCAAACCATCTGGAGGGTGCCAGGTTGCCTATCCCTACCTTAAGCAGTTTTGTGACACAAATTCCCAGTAGATAGTCACGTCCCATCCATCCATCAGATGGAGCCAAATACAGGGAAATCCTGTTGGTGGCTGTCTTGAGTACAAAATGCGGGGCTCAGTTGACTTTGCCTTAGACAAAGGTTGTTGGCATAACAACATGTTGTAGGAAGCCCATGACTATGTTGGAACACATTTCTGTTCTGCTGTAACTGACTGGAGAGAGTATTTCTGTAAGGTTCCATCAAAGGATTGGCAGCCCTTATTCTCAAGTCATGGATGCTGTTGTGTTGGAAGGGCAGCTCTGTGAGAGACACACTGTGTACTCTGATGTTGTGTTACGTGGATGATCAGAGTGGCTTGCGGGCTAACTTATTGACTACGTAATCATAATGCACTCTCTCAAGGGCTACCATTAAAGCCACTTCAGAAACTAACTGGTGCAAAATACATCTGCCAGGATGTTGTGGAGGCTAAGCATTTGAACTGTCTTATTACCAGTTCTGTACCAGTAACATTGGTTGCGCATTCAGGCTCAAAGTGCTGGTTTGGACTTTTAAATCCCTTAATGGTCTGAAACAAGTTTATTTGAAGGATCAACCTGCTTGGTTCCTGCAATTGGCTTCAGAGGACCCTCTAAGATCCAGTCAGTGTGGGGTACCGAGGACCTCCTAGAAAAAGCCTTTCCAATGCAGACTCAAAACTCAGAAGGCTATGTGTCTGGAGGGTTTGCCTCCCTCCCTCACTGTTGGCTTTTGAGTAGATCTGAAAGACATGTTTATTCCGCCCAGCACTTTGTTGATGTTTTATCAGCTGTTTCAGTTTTAATTGGTTGATGTATTGATTAATCATTGTAAGTCACCTGGTGAATGCTATATCCAGAAGTCCATTAAATACATAACTGTAGGCGAGTACTAAGCTGAGAGCTGATGGTGTGACATAATCCTGTAGCTGTTGGTCTAGGATTCTTGGGCTAGCACTGAAGTAGGCCACAAACAACATATTAGGTATCTTTCGTGATGTCCTTTAAAAGATACAACTTAAGGAAAGCCATGCTGGATCAGACCAAAGGTCCTCTAGTCCAGGATTCTGTACAGAGGGTGGCAAACCAGCAGCCCACAGGATCCTTCAAGCAGGACAGGCGCAAGACCACCTCCTGGCCAAGCTGGTGTATGCAGGCCTGCCTCTTCTGGTGAAGGAGGCACATGGCCAGCAAGGCTAGTAGCCACTGATGGCCTCCTACCTCACGAATCTGTCCAATTCCTTGTAAAAGCCATCCAGATTGGCAGCCATCATCACTTCCCATGGCTGGCTGTATGAAGAAGTGCTTCCTTTTATCCATCCTAAACCTCCCCCCAGTCAGCTTCATAGGATGACCACAGGTTCAAGTGTTATGAGAGAGGGAACAAAAATGTCTCCCTCTCCACTTTCTCCGCACCATTATTTTAAGCACCTCTACTATGTCATTTGAGCTGCAGTGCTACACACACTTGCATGAGACTTGCAATCCAATACAATTTGTTGTATGTATTATAATTTTATGTTGTGAGCCGCCCCGAGGCTTCGGCAAATGGGGCGGCATAGAAATGTTTTAATAAAAATCAATAAATAAATCCCAGGGAGCTCAGGCTTGCTTCTGACCAGGTGCATAGGATGGCACTGTTGCAATACGACTCTAAGCCGTTCTCTGAACACTGCAATTTGGTAACTGGCTCTTTACCCAACAGAGATAGTCACTGGCCTGGGTGTTATAAGTAAATAGCATGGGCTATTTACTTTTAGTGTCATTAGTCCCTTGAAAGGCTTTAATGAAAACTTGTAAGTGTGCAATAAACAATACTGTTTCTGCCAGCTTAAACGCTGAAGTTTGGCTCCACTTTGTCCCAGAGTGGGATTTTGCCAGGGAGAATGGAATTCTTTCCATGACCTGCCCTTCACACATTGCTGTTTTCCAAAGCAGATGGAAAACTCTGAAATCCTGTGCTGTAGCAATAACACCGTAGACGTGCACATTCTGTTCAGTATTGTGCGACTGTGGACCCTGCTCCTAGAGATGTGCACGGAGGCTTCAATTCAGTGCGTCCAAAATTTGCTTAGGCCAAAATTGGTTTTAATCCTCTCCCAGCAGAGCAGCCTCTGTGTGATGATTTGCAGAGTGCAAGGTGTGGTGTAGAAGAGCTGCCATCGGAAGGGGTGGGGATGGAAAAAACGAAATAAAGTGGAATTATCTTCACTCAAACAAATGGAACTTATTTCCTTGATGCAATTGTTTCTGTTCTGATGTGTGTCCATGTAGAACAACATGAATATGAATTTACAAGAGGCTAGTGGCAGCAACTTTGTTAAGTTGATTGTTCAGAAACGGCAAGGATTGCCACCGTCATTGTGGAAAGCTTTTGGTTCACACAAGGTTTCTGTGCAGCAGCAAGTCCATGCAGAAAAATGGCTGGAGTGTGTTCTTGTGAACCAGCCTTTATTCTCATTTCTTTTCTGTGCCTCTAACCAGCTAAGATCCATCCTGGGCTTTTTGCTGGACCAGAAACATAGGCCCTCTTCTGAAATAACCTCCAGCACAGCCTTCCCATTCACTGTGCCTTCCCATGCCTGCCCAACCTGGTGCCCCCCACATGTTTTGGACTTCAGCTCCTCATCAGCCTGAGGAGCCAGCTGTCAGGAATACAGAGCTGAAGCTGAGAACGCCTTGAGGGCACCAGTTTGGGGAAAGTTGCTCTGGCAGTGTAGGAACTGCTTTCTAGTGGCAGTATCCCAGAGAAAGTTCAACACAGTTTCTGTATTTACTCTCTCACAGACACAGATGACAAGACCAACATGGTTCTCAATCTCTCTCTCTCTCACTCACACAGCGATGTGCACGATCTACATAGACAGGAAACTCCAGCTCCACTAGGAGTATGCATGGGGTCTTTCTTGCTATGCATATAAGTGGGTAAAATAAGGAATAATATTACAGTGGTGGAAGGCAGGAAGACCTCAGTGAATTCTGTCTTGGGATACATGGTGTTTCCCTGTCCCCAGAATGGCACTTGGCTAGTGTGAGGCCAAAACCTGTGAAACTATCAAAACATTGGAACATTGATATGGTTTGTGTTCGTAGATTACAGGAATGATGACACAGAATTCAGATACAAAAAATTGCTGCAGGATTTTTTTTCTTTGAATAAATGAAACTATACTAGTTAGAGATTTCCTTAGGTTCCCATTTGAAATATTGAAGCTCACCTCTTCATTAAAAATGAAACACTTTCTGAGTATCTGAAAAAAAAATGAAATAGAGCAGTTTTGTCTAAGTTAATATGCATGGCCATTGCCATCTAAACCTACCTATACTAAAATTGATGTCATATCAGCATATTTGGCTCTTTATTTCTATGCAAAATCCCAAGGGATTAGTGTTCATTGATAGCACCTTTGATTACTTCTTTATTATAAGACCATTTAAATATTCTGTTAAATATATTTCCATTGTATGGACAGTTTGAAATGTTATTGGTTAAACATTTTAACATATTTAAAATGGTTAAAAAGTCATTCATGTTAACTTGCATTACCATCCAGAATATTGTTTCCATTCTTCACAATCAGACTACATAGGTACAGGATTAGTTACTTGTTTTTTGTTTTTGTTTTTGTTTTTGTTTTTTTTGCGGGGGTTGCCATATTCAGACCAACATAAGGCAATTTTATAAGAACTTAATTTATGAAATATAGTTAGTATTGAGGACATATGACCACAGTATAGTATGAAATTCTACAAAGAGTTGCATTTAGATATTCTGTTGCACTAGTTCTCCAAAACATCAAAGGGGAGGGTTTTCCTAGATTTTTAAATCATGCAGTTGCTCATGGGATTTAGTGTTTTGTCCAAAGTTGGCACACTCACACAGGGTGGCTCCTAACAGCCATGGCTTATTCCAAGGTTTACCTAACTCAGTATGCCTTCGCATGTCATCCAAACCAAGATGCTGATTGTCTTATTCCTCAAGGCAGTGGGCTAGTGAGCAGAGTAACAGCAATGCTGAAGGACATGTTGCTGCTCTTGTTCTTGTGAGTGAGCTTGGTTCTCGGGCTGTGCCTAACAGCGGATTTCACTGTGCCTTCCCATGCCTGCCCTCCTTCCCCAATTCTCCCTAGCAATTGATTGCTCCAAGGCACCCACCCCTCTCAAGTTATGCCTGTCGGCTCCTGCACACCTACTGAGCTTTGCTTTTCAGTGGTCTTTGCTCTTGGCAGCTTTTCTCCAACTGCATGTTACCTGCTTACCGGCCTTGAAGGAATTTATTTTCCTGCTAAATGTTGCTGCAATTTAAACTCGGCCTCTCCCTGCCCTAATATCCTCCACAGTTGTTCTGTGTACTGGACCCCTGAATCAAGCTGGTAAACAAGGAAAACCCCCATGTTGATTATCCTCTTTGCAAGTTCAGATGTGTAATCACATCACTCAAATTATTTGCCCCACATCTCTTCCAGTCTTATTGGATTATTTCTTCATAGGGTTTTCAAGGTACAAAGATTCAGAACTGGATTACTATTGCCTCCTTCTGCCAAGGCTGTGGCTTCCTTTCCATCTCATATTTGTCTTTCTTTTCTTCTTCTGCCTTTGACTTTCCTAGCATGATTGTCTTCTCCAGTGGGTCTTGCTTTCTCACAGTGTGCCCAAGTATGACAGCCTCAGGTTTGTTATTTTTGCTTCTAGGGGAAGTTCTGACTTGATTCAGTCTAGGACCTACTTGTTAGTCTTTCTGTCAGTTCAGGGTATTC